TCAGGCCAGTAGAGCCATAGGCCATCCCTGCCTGCACAGCACTGGATTATTCCTATTGACAATGTTTTGGGTATGGCTGCCACTCACACCTCCAAATGCGGTGAACCCTCTTTCAACCACAGCCCCTTGCTTGTCCTCATGTTCTATTTTGTGTCAGCAGAACCTTCACAATGACTGAGTTGGAGGAGTGAGGGGAATGGGAACAGCCCAGGCAAGAACACTACAGACTTCCACTGTTCCTACTCAAAGTTCAGTGGTTTTTCAAACAATGTATCTCAGACTGGAAGGTTTTATGTCTGTTTCCAGAGCACCAAAATTGTTTTGAGCTGGGAGTAGTGGTGCGTGCTTATAGTAGCAGCTACTTAGGAGGCTGAGGCTGGAGGGATTGCTTAAGGGCAGGAATTTGAGACCAACCTGGGCAACAGAGCAAGACCCCCCATCTCTAGACAAAAAGAAACTTTCATTGCTTTTTTTCAGCATTTTAATTGCTTGAACTATAATACAGAGAGGATTTGCTGACATCCTTGCCTGACTATAGCTGGAAATGCTGTCCAAAGCATCTGAGACTTTAATGATGATCTGGGTAACTGAGTTCAGGAAATGCCTTGATGGGAAAAGGATTGCACTGCTGTCCAAACAGCCTCTTGTAAACTGATGATCCAATTGCTTAACATGGTTAAGAGTGAAAATGGGAACTGGCCAGGGACCAGGACACATGCTGGGCTTCCCTCCTGCCCTGTGCTGGTAGTCCTGCATTTTTTTCGTGTTCTACTTTTCATAAACTCTCCAGTTCTCCCTCCACAGCATGACATCTTTGTCTTTACAGCAATATTTGTGTAATTATTTTAATATTACCTTAGCTTGTAAAATTTTATTTATTTATTTTTAGTAGAAGAACAGATCATTTAATTATACAAACAAAATCGCTTTCCTTCGTTCCAGGGAACCCAGGCAATCTTTCAAATTCATTTGTTGCCCGACAGAAAGGTTTTTAGAATCAGAAAGAACCTCGCTCTCCTCCGATATCCACATGGAAAACAAGATCAGAAACAGAAGTCCACCATGGAAAAAATCCTAGGATGATCCAATCTGGAAATAATTTCATTAACAAAATAAAATGGAGGGAAAATGGTCCAGGTGGGGCCCTAGGGAGAGAGGACTCATGTCCAAGGCCAAAGTCCGTCCAGCACACCCAGTGGGCAGCCTTGGGCCTGTCATTGCAGAACCAGCCTTGACAAGCAGACCCAGTGTGCGCGGCCACGGCTTTCCGATGCACTTGGCATATGTGCAGATATGAAAAACCCAACGGCTTGGCACATTCATGCATGCAAAGCGAGGAGGTTTTGCGGGCTTCACCAAACAGTTAATTTTGGCAAAAAGAGAAAAACAAAAAGCTAAAATTCATAAGCAGGATTAAACGCCACTGAAGTGAAAACGATGTATTTCCTCAGCCTTATGGAGTTGGACTACCACTACAATTTTTTTTTTTTTAAATAAAGTCTCTGCCATCCTCTCCCCTGACTCAGGTCAAAGTTAATAGCAGCAATACAGAGTCCTCTGTGAAGCCAGTGTTCTCTGCTCCCCGGGTCAGAGGTCAGAGGTCAAGTTCAGTCAGTCCGAAGAATCATAGGGACTCGCTGTCCTCATCCAGGCGCAGGGCGCTAGCCTCAGCCTCAAGGTAGGTGCCGCCCACGGCACCCAGGTCGCCTGTGTAGGCTTTTGCTGCAGCCGCGCCGTACGTCTGAGTAAGGGGCAGTCGTGAGAGGCAGAGTCCAAGATCTCATTGGCCGTCTCCAGACTGCCATACAGCCAGTGCTGCTTCACCAGGGTGCACTAGCTGCCCTCCTGGGGGTCCAGGTTGTACATGTACAGATACCCGTCAGAGGCGCCCACCAGCAACTGTGGGATCTTCTGAATTGCGGCTAGTGAGCGGATGTTTTTGTGGCCGCAGAATGGCAGGCAGACTGTGGCGAAGGCTCGGCCCTGGTTGAACATTTCTGTCGCTTGGGAAGGCAGGTAGCTGGTGGAGGCCAAGAGCACTTTCCTAAAGTACCCAGTCCAGGTGGTGAGCTCCTGGGGGTTTTTCTTTCACAGTCTCGAGTTTGAAGATGTGCACGGTCTCCGTGTTGCTGGAGGCGGAGAGCAACATGCTGTCCATGCTGAAGGCCAGGGAGCAGATGCTCACGCACCTCTTCACTCTTCTCTGAAACTCAAAGAGTTTTTGTCCCTCTGGAATGGAAAATACCCTAATCATGAGGTCCCCTTCTCCAAAGCCGTGGCAAGCTTAGTTCCACTAGTGTCAAAAGCCAACACTGCTAAAGGACTGTCATGAGCCGGAATCATGTTTGCAGCTCTCAAATTAATGGTATCGAAGACCTGCACCTCTCCGATGGTTGCGCTCCCTGTGTACGCCAAGTAGCCGTCGTCATTGTTGATTGACAGCGCACACAGGTCTGCAGGGTTTGGAGGCGTCTCCCTGATCGTGTGCAGTCCTTTCATGTCCCGAATGTTGTGGATGTACAGGGACTCTTCCAGGCATACTACCAGCCTCTGCCTGTTGAGCTTCACAGCCAGAATCGTGTTGGAGTAGCTGTAGTTGCAGATCTCAGTTCCCTTCTTAAAGTGGCACATCTTTAGCTTCCTTGGTGCGTTAAGGTTCACCATGGCCACTAAGCTGCTAGAGAACAATCTCTCTACAATGCATACACCTTCCGTGTAAGTGCATTCATAGATCTGTTCCAGCCTATCCACAGAAGAAAGTAAAATTTATAACCGTACTTACTACCAACAGCTAGGGACCACACAACAGCACGATGGCCAGGACCAGTTGCTCTTGATTCCTGTTTCACTGCTGTGTTGTCCTGGTTGAAGTTGGTGAAGAGCAGCTGGCCGGCACCGGCCTCCCCGCTCTGGCTCGCCAGGTTCATGGCTGGGCGCGCGGCAGGTGGGCCTGGCCGGGGAGGGCTCGCGCGCGAGGGCGGGTCAGGCTGCACTCAGGGTCAGCGCCTGGCCCCCCCCCCACCGCTCGCCGCTTTGGTCTCCCCAGGATCAACCGCCGCCTCATCCCATCCCCGCTCTTGTTTATGCTCCGGACGTAAATTTTATTTCTTGCTGGGGCCTTCAGCGGTTTTATTATAAAATCACAGTTATGCTCACATGCTGTCACATGCCACAATGTACGTCTCATAACCATGGGGAAAGGGCTTCTCTCAAGTAAAGTTCTCATCTGTGTGTTTCATGAAAAAGGAGAGATTGGTCGCTGCCACAAAAAGAGTTTCTCTCAATTTTTGCTTTGCTCAGATGCACGGTGTGACAAATGTAGGCTTTTTGTTTTTTCAGAGACAGAGTCTCGCTCTTTCACCAGGCTAGAGTGCAGTGGCACGAACTCGGCTCACTGCTACCTCCACCTCCCAGGTTCAACCAATTCCCCTGCCTCAGCCTCAAGAGTAGCTGGGATTACAGGTGCACGGCACCATGCCCGGCTTATTTTTTTGTATTTTTAGTAGAGATGGGGTTTCACCACGTTAGCCAGACTGGTCTCCAACCCCTGCCCTCAGGTCTCAATCTCCCTGCCTCGGCCTCCCAAACTGCTGGGATTGCAGGCGTAAGACATTGGGCCTGGCTGCCTTTTTACTTTCTTTTATAAACTATTAATTTAAATGCCAGTAACACATTTCACCTGTCCCACAGGCGATAAATGCCCTTACTTGGACTACTGTAGACTTGGCTTTTTATATAAACAATACTGTTTTTGGACAGAAGAAAACAGAGTATTTGGCTAATAAATGCATTCTTAAACCTAGAGGCTATTACATTAAGAACTAATTTGTAGTTTGTTTTGTCTCAGTGGATCCAGGGCTGGAATCGCCCCCATAGCGGCAGCAAGGGAGACCCCAACAGGGAGTGCTCCAAACTGTCTTGAGATAGGGCGGGCTGGGATTCCAAAGAAAGAAGCTCCAAGTGTCAGGGTGATCAGTCCAAAGCATTTATTAGGGGAACGTCCTTACTGAGTGCTGCAGCAATCGTAGAGAGAGAAAAGGTGTTCTGCCCAGGTATGTCAGCAGTGAGGGAGCTTCTATGACAGTTTAAGGAATTTGGCTCAGAGCCCATTTCTTTTAGTGTTTTAGGTAACAAGCTAGGCAGTTTTATCAGTGCCTGGGAATGTTCAAGGCCCAGTTTGGCTTCAAGCCTGCTGCGAAAATCCTGCAGCGGGGTAGGTGACACAGGTCACAAGGCACTCTGTGACTTTTGGTCAGGATACAGAAAGCAGGGGGAACTGGCAACCCTACACTTGTGAATTAGAAAACGTTCATTCTCTTCTTCTCTGGGATTTCCTAAATGATTGCTGGCACCTATTTGATGAGAACCCTACACTGAACAATGGAATCAAATTCGTAGCTGGGTTGCAGTCAGCTTAGTATTTCACCTCTGAGGCCTCTTTGCTAATAAATACATTGGAAACTTTAAGAGTGGAGAAATCTGCAGGCAGCATCTTACTAAGTCACCAAAGTTAACCTCACAGTAAGAAGACAACTGATCCTGAGATGTTTAATCGGCATTAGATTAAAAAAAGAGAGAAAGGAGAAGACAACTGAGCATGCGCTATCAGGGCTGGTGTGTGAAGAGCACAGCATCACACCTGACCTCCTGAACCCCTTCACAGACCCAGCAGAGCGCTGCGTACAGAGCAGGGGCTCAGAAAATCCATGCTGAAATCAATTAAAAAATAAACAAGATCTTTGGTTTATTCTCGGTTATAAAGAAAGAGGAAGTATGGAAAGCTACTTCCAGTGAGATGGCTTTCCAAACTGTTAGGTAGGAAAATGCTGGGGCTCCCATTGAAGGTAAGGTAGAATCCAGAACACACCCATATTCTCAGTCCATTTCCCAAAGGTGATTTAAAGCTGAGTAAAGGAACAAGTCTTTTGAAGATGCAGAAGCTGGTCATTAGACATGGCCTGGAGCCAGTCACTGGAAAAGGATATCAATACCCAGACTGATTCTTAGGATAGCCACCATTTGTATGATTTTGGTTTTATTTCAATTCAGTACAGTATATATTAGTGTAACATAGTTTTTTTTTTTTTTTCAAAAATCACCAACCAAAATCCATCACCAATGCTTTGATTGTCCAGGAAAGAAAGAGCCCCACCCAGCCTTGTCACATAACACAACAACCCCTGTCCCCGGTGCAATGTGTCATCCTCGCTGCGCTGTGAAAGCAAGGCTCTCTCCTCACCCTAACACAGCTCCTGTCTCCAGTGCTTGCCTGCCGTTCTTCCCATGCCTTGGCCTGACTGTGCTTTCTCAGTTAACCCAAAGGCTTTTCCCGGCCTTTTCCTCTTGGAATTCCCCTCCTCACTAGAGAGAGAGCTGTTTTTTTTCTCTCTCTTTTTTTTTTCTTTTGAGATGAAGTTTGGCTCTATTGCCCAGGCTGAAGTGCAGTGGCATGATCTTGGCTCACTGCATCCTCCACCTCCTGGGTTCAAGGGATTCTCCTGTCTCAGCCTCCAGAATAGCTGAGATTACAGGCATTTTTGTATTTTCAGTAGAGAGGGGATTTCACCATGTTAGCCAGGCTCTCGAACTCCTGACCTTAAGCAATCCTCCCGCCTTGGCCTCCCAAAGTGCTAGGATTATAGGCATGAGCCACCATGCCTGGCCGTAAATGACAGATTGTTTTTGGATATTTTGATCTTGCACTTTAAGTCATGCCAACTTTAATGCTATGAGACAGTTCAGTAAAACCTAACGTTTCTTATAAAAATGAATCTGAGAAGCAAAGCTGGCTGCAAAAGTCAGAGCAGGTGTCATACCCCTCTGCCCCTCAGTGATCCTGGGCATGTCCTGGTAGACCGAGGTAGAGGCCAGGAGGCGGACTTGCCCTGAATGCATGACTTGAATTCAAGTCTTGGCTCAGCTTTTTAGGTATTAGCTTGTTGGTCCTCAACTTCTCTAAGCCTCTGTTTCCTCACTTATCAATCTTCTACTACTGTATGGAAACAGGTCCATCTGCCAGTCTGCAGATTGAGCTAATGTGACATTTGAAAACGGGGTGCTGCAATAGAGTAAGGTGGTTAGAGGTGGAGGAGGAGGAACAAAAGCAATGCAAGAATAGCTTTAAGGAAAAGAAGGGCGAAGAGTTGAAAGTGGCAGGGTGGAGAGATGGAGCCAACAGCAGCATGGGAGTCCCTGGCTAGGGCCAGGCCTTAGATGACAACATTGGTGGTTGGGTTCACTGCCCTCTGAACAGCACAGAGAATGAAGCTGGTCATTAGACATGGCCTGGAGCCATGGAAAAGGATATCAATACCCAGACTGATTCTTATGGTAGCCACCATTTGTATGATTTTAATCCATGGAATCATTTTGAGAGCTTCTTAATCTTCACCTCTTTTCTGGACAGGAGACAGGTGGCTAAGCCTAGCCCTGGACCAAGTCATATCTTCACACTTTCTTAAGCCACAGAAAACTTGAACCAGGTGGTGTGGTCATACTCCTCACCAGGCCTCAGCAGCACAGGAGGGAAGTGGGGCTGTGAAGGGGGAAACAACACAGGTGATGCTTGACAGCACAGGCTGCAACATTAACCATTCGGGTGTGCTTCTGGACGGGCCTCTAGACCAGTGTGCTCTGTGGATGGCTGCCAGTGCAGGAACTGTTTATGATTGGTTCATAGTGAGATAAAGAACTTTGGGCTAGGCATGGTGTGGGAGGCCGAGGTGAGTGGAGCACAAGGTCAGGAGATCGAGACCATCCTGGTGAAGACGGTGAAAACCCGTCTCTGCTAAAAATACAAAAAGTAAGCCGGGCATGGTGGCATGCACCTGTAGTCCCAGCTACTTAGGAGGCTGAGGCAGGAGAATCGCTTGAACCTGGGAGGCGTGGGTACAGTGAGCCAAGATCGCACCACTGCACTACAGACTGGGCAACAGAGTGAGATTCTGTTTCAAAAAAAAAAAAAGAACTTTAATCAGAGTGAAAATCTACTATATCACTAAGCACACTTTGTTAAAGTAGGCTTTCCTGATGAAGGAAAGTGTGTTGATCTATAATCTGGTGCAAGATGTAGGCTTTTTTTTTTTTTTTGAGACAGAGTGATCTCACTCTGTCTCCTAGGCTGGGATGCAGGGGAGCGATGTCAGCTCACTGCAACCTCCACCTCCCAGGTTCAAGTGATTCCCCTGCCTCAGCCTCCCAAGTAGCTGGGATTACAGGCACCCACCACCATGCCCAGCTAATTTTTGTATTTTCAGTTGAGACAGGGTTTTGTCATGTTGGCCAGGCTGGTCTCGAACTGACCTCAAGTGGTATGTCTGCCTCATCCTCTCAAAGTGCTGGGATTACAAGCTTGAGCCACTGCACCTGGCCCCCCACTTTTTTTTTAAGACAGGGTCTCATTCTGTTGTATAGGCTTGAGTGCAGTGGTGCGATTGTGGCTCACTGCAGCCCCAATCTCCCAGGCTCAAGTGATCCTCCCACCTCAGCCTTCTATATAGCTGGGGCCACAGGTGTGCACCACCACACCTGGCTAATTTTTCTAATAATCTATAGAGATAGGGTCCCCTTGTGTTGCCTCGGTTGGCTTCAATCTCGAGTTCAAGCAATCCTCCCACCTCAGCTTCCCAAAGTGCTGGGATTACAAGCAGGAGCCACCTTGCCAGCCCAAGGCACACACTTTTAATTGTGGGCTGGCACTTTTAGGAGTTCCGCTCTAGGCAATAGCCAGAAAAGAAAGTTATGAGGGAGCACATAGGAGGAGATGATATGGAAGTTCTCCTTAAGTGTGGTTGCAGAAAACGAGAAGGTATTGATAAGGAGAAACATCAAACTGGATAAAGGCTTTGAAGGTACAAAATTAGAGCTTTCTTAAAAATATGTAAATGCCATGTCAGTAGCTTGACTATGGGTTTTCTGTTTATCATGACTTGGAGAATAAGCATGAACTTTTGAGCCGGGCATAGTGGCTCACGCCTGTAATCCTAGCACTTTGGTAGGCCAAGGCACATGGATCACTTGAGGTCAGGAGCTCGAGACCAGCCTGACCAACATGGTAAGACCTCGTCTCTACTAAAAATACAAAAATTAGCCAGGCGTGGAGGTGGGTGCCTGTAATCCCAGCTACCTGGGAGGCTGAGGCAGGAGAATCACTTGGACCCAGGAGGCGGAGGTTGCAATAAGCTGAGATCATATCACTGCACTGTAGTCTGGGTGACAGAGTGAGACTCTGTCTCAAAAAACAAACAAACAAAAGAACTTTTTGAATCAAACAAACAAACAAAATATGAACTTTTGAATCATACAACCTGATTTGAGTGTAGTGAACTCGGTTGTATAGTGTGACCTTGGACACAAACCCCACTCTAACAAGCTAGCCTGTGGCATTACCTGATTGACTGCATCAGGCCAGTTCTGAGTCTCCAGGCAGAAACCAGAGTGCTTGGGATAGACAGCTCCACTCTTGCCCTTTAATGTGCCATCCAGGAAGTTGCCCGTGTAAAACTGGACCCCGGGCTGGGTGGTGTATACCTCCAGTACCCGCCCGCTTGCAGCATGACGCACCCTGGGAAGAAACACAAACCACATGAGTCCAGGCAGAAAAGCAGATGAGGAGGAGTAGAAGCTGGGAAGTGGCTTTGAGACAGGAAATCAGACCCAGCCACAGAGCAGGGACAAGATATAAGGAGGACATGAAGGTAGGAAGAGCAGGATGGAAAATTCTTCCAGTCTCAAAGGCAAGGCATGAGCAGGGGCTTTGAGGATCCTCAATAGCAACGTCTCACTCTGATCTTGGCTTCTTTTGGCATCACAAAACAGACTTACCCTTGCCTGCCAGCTGGGGAGTAGGGAGGAAGGGAGCAGCCAGGTTGGAGAGAGGAAAGCCCTGGAGGAGCCAAGATTTTCTTTTTTTTTAAATAGGGTCTTGTTCTATTACCCAGGCTGGAGTGCAGTGGCTCAATCTTGGCTCACTGCAACCTCTGCCTCCTGGGCTCAAGCAGTTCTCCCACCTCAGCTGCCCAGTAGCTGGGACTGCAGATGTGCACCACCACATCCAGCTAATTTTTGTTTGTTTGTTTTGAGATAGACTCTGGCTCTTTCATCCAGGGGGGGTCCAGTGCTGCAATCTCAGCTCACTGCAACCTCCGCCCCATGGGTTCAAGCGATTCTCCTGCCTCTGCCTCTCAACTAACTAGGATTACAGGTGCCTGCCACCATGCCCGGCTAATTATTTGTATTTTTGGTAGAGATGGGGGTTTCACCATGTTGGCTAGGCTGGTCTTGAACTACTGACCTCAAGTGATCGGACCACCTCAGCCTCCCAAAGTGCTGGGATTACAGACATGAGCCACTGCGTCCAGCCTGGGATGCTTTTCGGAGTTTTGCTCTGTTGCCCAGGTTGGAGTGCAGTGGTGCAATCTCAGCTCACTGCAACCTCCCCTCCCAGGGTTCAAGTGATTCTCCTGCCTCAGCCTCCTGAGTAGCTGAGATTATAGGCACCTGCCACCATGCCTGGCTAATTTTTGTATTTTTAGTTGAGACGGGGTTTCACCACTTTGGCCAGGCTGGTCTTGAACTCATGACTTGAGGTGATCCACCCATCTCAGCCTCCCAAAGTGCTGGGATTACAGGCGTGAGCCTCTCTGCCTGGCCCGAGTTAAGGCTTCTAACAATGGACCTTAAAGAACAAGCAGAGAGGGAGAGAGGAGGCGCTGAGCATGGAGGAATATGAGTAATGGGAGGTAGGAGGAGGGGGATGAATTCTACAGAGCTCACCTGAGCCACGGGAGCTTTGAGAAGATATGGAATGTGGGACTGGGCCACCTATAGCATAGTAAATGCTACTGATATGGCCAGAGGAAAAGCTCCAAAGGAAAATAGGAGTTGGTGTCAGTTTCTTTCTTACAGACTTAGGAAGTGAAAAATACCTGACCTTGCACAAAAATGCTTTTCTTTAGAACCCTTCAGACAGAAATTGTGGTCAAAACCATTGAGATGGAAGTCCTGCAGGTGTTTTCCAAGCTCCACTGGCTTTCTCAGGTCGAATGCAGTTCCTTGCACTGGGGCCACTTCTCCTGATGGGAAAAGACAGAAAACAAAGGTGATAAACATCCAAGTCTCATATTTACACAGAGCCTCCCCAAGACCCACTGGTTCTACCCTCTCAGCCTTCATTTGAATTTGTTAAGGAGATGGGAGCCCAGATCCTGGGAAACATGCAGGGAGCCCATCTCTATGAAAAAAATAAATAAATAAAATTAGCCAGGCATAGTGATGGGCACCTGTGGTCTTAGCTACTCAGGAGGCTGAGGCAGGAGGATTGCTTGAGCCCAGAAGGTAGATGCTACAGTCAGCTATGATTGCATCGCTGCACTCCAGCATGGATGACAGAATGAGACTCTGTCTTGTTTAAAAACAAACAAATAGGGAGAGGGTGGGGAAGAGAAGACAAAACAAAACAACCCTCAAAGAAATAAATAAAGAGTATATGGGAATATGGGCTCAGGATATATGCAAATACCACACTATTTTATAGAAGGAACTAGAGTAGGCCAGGTGCAGTGGCTCACGCCTGTAATCCTAGCACTTTGGGAGGTGGAGGTGGGTGGATCACTTGAGGTCAGGAGTTCAAGACAAGCCTGGCCATCATGGTGAAACCCCAGCTTTTTTTTTTTTAAAAAGAAGGAACTAGAGTATCCATTGATTTAAGTATCACTAGGGAGTCCTGGAACCAATCTCCCATCGATTCCAACGGAAAATGGAAAATATATACTCATAAATATATATATATATATGCCAGAGTTGTTCTAGCTGAATCAAGTACAGGTTCTGAGCAGCTCAGGTGGAACACCCCAGGATGAGATGATGGCAGAGGTCTACTTCTTCTTAAAACAGCCAGGTGCTAGAACCTTGCACCAAGTACAGAGAATCCCAGGTTCCTCTGTAGCAGGTCAAATCACTCTGGCCATTTTTTCTTGAGGAGGAAAGAAAAAAAGGCTCTTTTCAGAGCCTTAAGCAATGATACAGTTGAGTTTTTTAAAAAGTTTTTTTTTCTTCTTTTTTCTTTTTTTGAGACAGAGTTTTGCTCTTGTTGCCCAGGCTGGAGTACAACAGCACGATCTCAGGTCACTGCAACCTCTGTGTCCCGGGTTCAAGTGATTCCCCTGCCTCAGCCTCCCAAGTAGCTGGGATTACAAGCACAGGCCACCATGCCCAGCTAATTTTTTTGTATTTTCAGTAGAGTCGGGGTTTCACCATGTTGGCCAGGCTAGTCTTGAACTCTTGACCTCAAGTGATCCACCTACCTTGGCCTCCCAAAGTGCTGGGATTACACGTGTGAACCACCACACCCAGCCTCATTTTTTTTTTAGACGGAGTCTCGCTCTGTTGCCTAGGCTGGAGTGCAGTGGCACAATCTCGTCTCACTGCAACCTCCACCTCCCGGGTTCAAGCAAGTCTCCTGCCTCAGTGTCCTGAGTAGCAGGGACTACAGGCGCCTGCTGCCACACTTGGCTAATCTTTGTATTTTTAGTAGAGATGGAGTTTCACCACGTTGGCTAGGCTGGTCTCGAACTCCTGACCTTGTGATTCACCAGTCTCAGCCCCCCAAAGTGCTGTTATTACGGGCGTCAGCCACCATACCTGGCCCCCATTTCTTTTCTTAAACTCAGAACTGCTGTTCAGAAATCAAGTCTGGCAATCTCACTGCAGCCTTGACCTGCGGCAACCTAGTGTCTGCAGACTGGGGTTCTGAGTTCACATGCAGCTCTGGGTGCTTGGGCATAAAGCACTCAAGTGAGGCACTAGGGTCCAGGCGATACCATCCTGGTGTCCACTCTTCAACTGAGAGAATCTGGGAAGCACATATAGGAATCCTTGCTCTTTTTTGTTTGTTTTGAGACAGAGTTTCACTCTGTCATCCAAGCTGGAGTGCAGTGGCGCAATCCTGGCTCACTGTAATCTCTGCCTCCCAGGTTCTAGTGATTCTCCCATCTCAGCCTCCGAAGTAGCTGGGATTACAGGTGCACACCATCATGCCAAGCTAATTTTTGTATTTTTAGCAGAGATGGGGTTTCACCATGTTGGCCAGGCTGGTCTAAACTTCTGACCTCAAGTGACCTGCCCACCTCAGCCTCCAAAAGTGCTGGGACTTCAGGCGTGAGTCACTGTGCCAAATTTTTAAATAGGGAATATTTGCACATGCAACCAATTTTTTTTTAACTTTTTAAATTTTTTGAGACAGAGTCTTGCTCTGTTGCCCAGATTGGAGTGTAGTGGTGTGATCTTGGCTCACTGAAACCTCCACCTCCCAGGTTCAAGCGATTCTCCTGCCTCAGCCTCTGGAGTAGCTGGGATTACAGGTGCCCGCCACCATGCCTGGTTTGTTTTTCTTTCTTTTTTTTTTTTTTTGTATTTTTAGTAGAGACTGGGTTTCACCATTTTGGCCAGGCTGGTCTCGAACTCCTGACCTCAAGTGATCCACCTGCCTCAGCCTTCCAAAATGCTGGGATTACAGGTGTGAGCAACTGGGCCCAGCTCCTCATGCAACCAATTTAATGGTAACAAATGTAAAAGGTAAAAAATATCATATAATCAAAGAACTTCTCTTATCTTTGTTCCCCACATATCCAGTTTCTTACAACACAAGCACCCATCATTACTGGCTTCTCTCTTTTAAAAACATTTTTATTTACGTATTTATTTTTTAGAGACAGTCTCACTCTGTTGACCAGGCTGGAGTGCAGTGGACCCTTTTCACTCAGTGTATCTTAGAGTTTGTTTCCAAATTTATTCCTAAGTATTTCATTGGACAGTTCAATATACACTCACGTTTTTCTCCATGATAATTTGTCTATTTAGAATTTCTTTTTTTTTTTTTGAGATGGAGTCTGACTCTACTGCCCAGGTTGGAGTGCAGTGGCTTGATCTCGGTTCACTGCAACCTCTGTCTCCTAGTTCAAGCAGTTCTCCTGCCTTGGCCTCTCAAGTATCTGGGATTGCAGGCATGTGCCACCACACCTGGCTAATTTTGTATTTTTGGTAGAGATGGGTTTTCACCATGTTTGTCAGGCTGGTCTCAAACTCCTGACCTCAGGTGATCCACCCACCTTGGCCTCCCAAAGTGCTGGGATTACAGGCATGAGCCACCACACCCAGCCTATATAAGCATTTAATCCTCCTTTTCTGAGATAGCATCTGCTGTCAGCTTCTTCCTCCCTTTTTCTCCTTCCTCTGCTACCTGAGTTAGGTTGCAGACACTTTCAACTGAAGGTATTCTAATAAAGGCACTTTTGTTTTCCCAGTAGATGGTGCTAGAGACACAATAGAAAGAGGCTGCTTTACAACCTCTAAAGCCCCATCAGTTCTGGCAGAATTCATAGTTTAACTTTTTGGATCCTGAAAGCCAAGTGCCAAATCCTAGACAGCAGTGTGACCCGCTTGGGTATGCTTTTGTTCTGCGACGTTTACATGATAAACCACCTCCCAGACTTGCATGGTGGCTCATGCCTGTAATCCCAGCACTCTGGGAAGCCGAGAAAGGCAGATCACTTGAGGTCAGGAGTTTGAGACCAGCCTGGGCAACATGTCGAAACCCAGTCTCTAATAAAAATACAAAAATTAGCCAGGCATGGTGGCGCGTACCTGTAATACCAGCTACTCGGTAGGCTGAGGCATGAGAATTGCCTGAACCCGGGAGATGGAGGTTACGCGGAGCCAAGATATTGCCACTGCACTCCAGGCTGGGTGATAGACCCTGTCTCAAACAAACAAACAAAAAAAAAAAAAAAAAAAAAAAAAGGAAAAGGCAACAATAAATCTTCTTTTTCTCTTTTTTAGAGACAGGGTCCTGCTATGCTCAAATGATCCTCCTACCTCAACCTCCTGAGTAGCTAGGACTACAGGTGTATGGCCAATTATATATATGTATATAAATAATTTTTTTTTTAAGAGACAGGGTCTTGCTCTGTTACCCAGGCTGTAGTGCAGTGGCATGATCACGGCTTACTGCAGCCTTGAGCTGCCAGGCTCAGGTGATCCTCCTGCCTCAGCCTCCCTAGTAGCTGGGACCCCAGGCATGTACCGCCACGCCTGGCTAATTTTTGAATTACTTGTGGAGATGAGGGTCTCGCTGTGTTGTGTAGGCTGGTTTCAAACTTCTGGGCTCAAGCAATCCTCCTGCCTCAGCCTCCCAAATTACTGGGTTTACAGGCATGAGCTACCATGCTCAGCAATTCTTCATGAAACAATAAGACTCAGGAAAAAAAGCTGGTATTCTCATGGGCTAAGGAAGTTTTTAATCTTACCAACCTATATTCTGAGTGGTAACTTACACTTTCTTCTATAACTTTAAATGGTGTTCACAATATTTTATTCTTCCTAAAAGCTATAGTCAACTCAAAATCTAACCCTTATGACAGTCCTAGTATGATGGACTTACGTCAGTCAAAATTGCTTATAATTATTTCCCTTAAAGTATAACTACAGGTAGAAGACTTTAAGGAACAAAAAAGCTACAACATTTTTGGGAAGGAAAGACAGAGGGCATATATCAGGCCTGTTTCCCTGTTACTGAGCAATCCACAAATCAGTGTTTGCTTCGGCTCTTCCCTCTGTAAAATGAAGCTGTTATTTGCTGCCACATGACATGGAAAATTTGATAAATGATGTGCCTGAGCACCTTCAGGAGGCTGGCACAAATAAATATAACAAGGCCAGATTTCAAGCTACCATATAGAATACAGAGCAGAGGGCACAAAAGGTAAGATTTTTTTTTTTTTTTTTTTTTTTTTTGAGATGGAGTGTTGCTCTGTCACCCAGGGCTGGAGTGCAGTGGCACAATCCCAGCTCACTGCAACTTCTACCTCCTGGGTTCTCGTGATTCTCCTGCCTCAGCCTCTCAAGTAGCAGGGACTACAGGTGTGTGCCACCATGCCCAGCTAATTTTTTTGTATTTTTAAAAGAAAAGGGGTTTCACCATGTTAGCCAGGATGGTCTCGATCTTCTGACCTTGTGATCCTCCCACCTCAGCCTTCCAGACTGCTAGGATTACAGGCGCAAGTCACCACATCCAGCC